GGGGGCCGGTCCACTGTCCCTCAGACCTTGTGGGAGGGCTGGACTATATTTTGAAGAAGAAAAAATGAACGAATTCCTATGCCCCACAAATAACCAAGAGATGCATTTTAAATAAAAGGACGCATTCTACTCATGTAAAAATACACTGATTCCTGGACCATCCGCGGGCTGGATTTAGAAGGCCATCAGGCCGGATCCGGCCCCCGGGCCTTAGTTTGCCTATCCATGTTCTATGGCAACCCCTATATTTGACTGGCAGTGGAAGTTCCTGTCTGTGCCCACTCCTAAAGAAATAGGCTCCAGGTACTTTGGACTGGGGGACACGGGTGGCGCTGTGGGTTAAACCACAGAGCCTAGGACTTGCCGATCAGAAGGTCAGCGGTTCGAATCCCTGCGACGGGGTGAGCTCCCGTTGCTCGGTCCCTGCTCCTGCCAACCTAGCAGTTCGAAAGCACGTCAAAGTGCAATAAGATAAATAGGTACCGCTCCGGCGGGAAGGTAAACGGCATTTCCGTGTGCTGCTCTGATTCACCAGAAGCGGCTTAATCATGCTGGCCACATGACCTGGAAGCTGTACTCCCTCAGCCAATAAAGCGAGATGAGTGCCGCAACCCCAGAGTCGGCCATGACTGGACCAAATGGTCAGGGGTCCTTTTACCTTTACCTACTTTGGACTGGAACAGCTTTCGGCCAGTTGCCGATATTCCCTTTTGGGGGAAGGCAGTGCAGAGAGGTCTGGTGGAGCAGCTGCAGGCATTTGTGGGGGATGAAGCTTCTTGAGATCCATTCCAATCTGTGTTCATGGAACCAAGTTGGCCTTGGTTGCCCTGCTGGATGAGCTTTGCAGAGTGTAGGATGGGGCACTGCTACCTTGCTTCTGCTTCTTGATCTCTCATCAATGGTTGATACTGTTGACCATGGTATGCTCCTGGACCGGTTCCAGGAAATGGGAATTAGGTGCACTGGATTATGGTGGTTCCAATCCTACCTTCAGGAGCAAGCCCCAAGAGTAGCATTCGGAGAGTACCTTTTGGCCCCCTGGCGACTATACTACAGAGTGCCACGGGGGACAATCTTATCTCTGGCGCTATTTAATATCTACATGAAGTCTTTGGGAACGGTCCTTAAGACACTTCAGGGTGAGGTGCCATCAGTATACTGTCTTGGTTAGACAAGCCTACCCAGATGCTCAGAAAGTTTAGGTAATTTTAATCTGTTTTAGTATTTCAACTTTTGTATGCTTTAAAGTATTGGCTGTGAATTTTTCTTGGTGTTATTGCTTTCTCCTTTTTGCAAACCGCTTTGAGGTTGTTTTCATTCCTGCTTTTAGTTATGTCTTTTATGTTTTTTTATTTTGTAATTTCATGTTGTGTACTGTCCTGAGATCTACGGAGTAGAGGGCAATATACAAATTTAATAAATAAATAATTCAACATTAATTAGCTTGTTTTTGAGATTTTTAATTGGCAAAGGGTAGGCAAGTAAAGGAAGGATTCTCTCATTTCAAAATGTCTAGTGTTACCTAGCTTAGCTATTTTATTTTCCTTAGGGGGGAAAAATATATTCAATCGTACTCTGAAATTGACATTGATTAATACAAAGTGGATGTGCTTATAGGTATAGCTGGGGGTCTCCAAAACTTATGAAGCATGTGAAATTTCCAATTCACCACTATTATTACAAGCGGGACCCACAACAACATACTGCATTCTTAAGTGCCTACTTTCCAACTTCTCCTATTCCAGGGATACTCCATTCCATTTCTGCCTTCTGTATGGTTTCCAATTCCCCCTACCACCATTAGTCATCATTGCATTGCAGGGGGTTGGGCTAGATGACCCTTGGGGTCCCTTCCACCTCTACAACTCTATGATTCCATTTCCACTATACATGCCCAGTCTGCACTGGCCCGTGTTGGGATTCCTGCACATTGAGGACTGATCTTTTTTCTTTTCTTTTTGTATTTCTACAGATCTTCTGGTTCTACCCAAGCCTGGTGGCATCCCATTCTCATGCTTGGATTGTGTCATTTTCACTCCACAATGACCAACACCCTGAAAACTGAGATCAGTATTAAAATACAAATTAACTTATAACATGTGGGGCTACCTTTGAAAAACCTGAAAACTACAACTAATCCAGAATGCGGCAGCTAGACTGGTGACTGGGCCACTGAGAAAACATAACACCGGTCTTGAAAGACCTACACTGGCTCCCAGTACGTTTCTGAGCACAATTCAAAATGTTGGTGCTGACCTTTAAAGTCCTAAACAGCCTCGGTCCAGTATACCCGAAGGAGCGTCTCCAACCCCATCGTTCTGCCTGGGCACTGAGGTCCAGTGCCGAGGGCCTTCTGGCGGTTCCCTCGCTGCGAGAAGCCAAGTTACAGGGAACCAGGCAGAGGGCCTTCTCAGTAGTGCCCTGTGGAACGCCCTCCCACCAGATGTCAAAGAGAACAACTATACCAGACTTTTAGAAGACATCTGAAGGCAGCCCTGTTTAGGGAAGCTTTTAATGTTTGACAGACTATTGTATTTTAATATTCTGTTGGAAGCCGCCCAGAGTGGTTGGGGAAACCCAGCCAGATGGGCGGGGTATAAACAATGAATAATTATTATTCTTATTCTTATTATTACAGTGGTACCTCAGGTTAAGAACTTAATTTGTTCTGGAGGTCTGTTCTTAACCTGAAACTGTGCTTAACCTGAAGCACCACTTTAGCTCTGCCACTATTCTTCCACAGAGCTCAATGGCAGCAACTGGGAGCTGAAGCAAATCTCCCATGCGCAGTCTACCCACTTTCATATGCATGTTCCCATGTGGGAATTCCGTTTTTCTGGTACAACATCAGAATGTGACAGAAGCGTGAGCTCTATTAAATGTAGCTCCTGTAAATCCAAAAACGCTCAATATAAGCACCTATTTATAGGAGGAGCGATTGCTCTGAATAAGCCGGAGATCTGAAGCACAAGTAGAACTGGATCAAGTAGAACAATTGCGAGTTCCAAACAGGCATTTCTTCTTAAGGCACACTCCTAGCAAAGCAGCAAACGAAACATCCTGCAATTCTCTTTACAAAGCGCACATTACCATTAAATTGCTCTTTAATGAGACAGATACTTTAAGCATTACACACACAAAAACCCCAAACATATTTCAAAGGTAAAAAGAGGATTCACCTCATTTTAAACCAGACATGCCATTTTTAATCAAAGACAACTACATTTTATAAAGAGGCTGTCAACCTTAGTTACTAAGTAATTACAGCCCAACAACAGGAAAAAAGCTTAATTTGCCTGGATAATGTATGCTATTTAATGTGATACTGTATATCCATTGAATGTTAATACTTTTTAAAAAAAGTTAAATGTTACCATCCCACGGCTATAGTTGGAAAACATATTTAACAGTTAATTAATCATGCAGTCACCACTATTAAATATGCAATGTTTATTTCCTGGCTGAAACAGCTCCATTTCATTACACTGACAAGCAAAGTGATGAGTTAATATGTATACTTCGACCCTCTCCCTGAACAAATTAGAAAAATATATTAAGTCACCCCCTCTGAAAGTTTCAGGTGAACTCACCACCCAAGATGATGTGTTTATACCCTCCCACACATATATGTATGTGTGTGTAATATACATATAAACATCTCTCTCTTCTGCCCACCGCTGCCCCCAGGTATCTGTTAATCTTATGCAGCGAAAACAATGAGACTTGTGGCACCCTAAAGACTAACAAATGAGTTGCAGCGTAAGCTTTCGCAGGCATTGTCCTGTGTTGCAGGTATACTGTCAACATACGTAGACATATTTTTTGTAACTTCATTCAAATTCAAAGAGCTGTTTCGATCCATCTTTCACTGTGCCATGGGTGACATCATGTTTGGCCTCTTCCCACCGGAGTTTACTTCTCCCAAACAGCTCCAGTGCATTAATGATGTTAAAGTCTGCCTTCAGTAATGGCAGCTATGGCACAATAGCATCACTGGTGTAGTCATCTCAGCAGATATGCATATTTCAAGAGGCTGCTCAATGGAGAAAGAATGAGCCCGGTGCAGGGGTGCATTTCCAGTGGCAGAGCAAGGCACAGAAGCTGAGCGGCTCATTGGCAAAGCAGCCTCACTCCAGGAGAACAGCAATAAGAACCAAGGGACCGCTTAAGATGGCAAATGAATTAGGGTTCAAAAAAATGAAAAGACAAAACCACCAGCACCACCACCACCCCCAAAACTTCTTGCAGACAGCTGGAGCATGCTAATTTCTTCTTAAGGGAATTAGGCTGGTTTGTGAATGGCAGCGTTGGCTGAATATTAAGGGAGGAATGAGGGAAGGCAGACGGCACCTGCATGTTCTCTCATTCCTGGGGGGCGGGGGGGACCTTGACATTTCCCCAAGAAAGCTGTGAGAGAAAAACCCATGGCAGTGGAACACATGCTGCTGATGATGTCTCACCAAAAGGCTTTCCAGACACCCACAGGCTTCCAGCCTGGCAGAGATGTGCAAAAATAAACAAACGCCAAGCCTCTGAGCCAAAATCAGAAGCTTCCTCATGCACACCACCTCTGCAGTCCCAGCCTGACTCCCAAACCCATCCTTGGAAGCACTGCTGACACACAGGTACATTAAGCAGGGGGCTGCCACGCTCACTTCCCTGCGAAGAAAGGCAAAAAGCAGGCACCTCCGTGAGCCCATCCAGGTTGTGCTGGTGTTTTAGAAACATTTTTTAAAAAGTGCAGGGCTGCTGATCTATACACTGCAGTGCAAGGGTAGCAGTGTCAGTAATTCGTCCCTGCCTTTCTCCCCTAGTTCTCTTGGTGCAAATGTGTGTGTTTGTGGGTTTAAACCAGCTTCAGTCTCCAAAAGGGAGAGAGAGAGAGAAAAAAAGAGTGCACAAGGACAACAAGAGCCATCACATTGCAAATGCCTCTTTCTCTCCATCCTGGCCCCCTTGGTCAACCTCTCACCACTGAGCCAGACTGCCTCTTCCCCTTAATGCCTAGTAAGTTCCTACTGCCCAAACCTTCAATTCAGATCAGCACCATTAATCCGCTTCTCCCCCATCAGTGCCGGGTTCTAATCCTGGCCCATTCTGCTTCTGCCCCGATCCTCCACTTGGCCCGCCGTCCTACATCCCTCCCTCTGCCCTTTTCCCCTTAGAGTCCCATCTCTCTCTCTCTCCATCCGTCCCGAGTCCCCTCCATCCCTTCTTCCCTTCCTCCCCGCAGGAAAGGAAAGGACGGCGGCAGGATAGGGAGCTTCCTCCTCTTCCTCTTCCTCCTTGACAAAATAATATATATATTAAAAAAACAACCTGTCCAGCCCAGACTTGAAGGAAATTATCCACCCCGCGCCACCGTCGCAAGGAAGCGTCAGGAAGGACGCTCCAAGCGAGCGCCCCTGTCCCGAGGAAGCAGGAAGCAGCCAGAGCACCGCTGCGCCCTGCGGATTGGAGAGCTGGCGGCCGGCTCCCCGTCCCTTGCGCCCCAGCGCCGGGAGCTTCGGGGACTGCAGGGCATCAGGAAGGCAGGATGGAGGGACCCTGAAGAAGCAGAGAAGAAACTTACTTGCCAGGAGGAGGAGGAGGAGGAGGGAAAGAGCGGGCTGCGCTCGCCGCGGCTGCTTCACTGCGCCCCGCAGAGCATGGCGCAATCGCTCGCCGGGCGCCGCCGCCGCCAGCCAGTCAGAGCGAGCGCGCGAGCACACGGCGGGCCGGCTCCTTGGCGCTGAATGGGATGAGCCGAGCGCGCAGCCGGGGCTCCGGAGCCGCCGAGCAACATTCAGGCATGCTCAGTCGGCTGACCTTCCCGGTGTGGGAAGTACCACTGCGCGAGGAAGACGGGGAAACAGGGGGAGGGAGGGGGGGGAGAGGCGAAATGGATGCTACCATCAGAGAGAGAGAGAGAGGCGAGCTAAAAATAGACGCAGGCGAAGATGGGTGGGAGGAGAACGAGAACAGCTGGAGCTTAAAGCGGCAGGAGCCGGTCTGCAGGAGCGCCTCTCTCTCTCTCGGTTATGAAGCCAGGGCCCATGGGGCGGGGAGGGGGGCGGCGGGGTGGCCTACAAATGGGACACTCACAGCGACCTCGTGGAAGGGGTGCTGCAAGTTAAGGAAATCGGCTCCCCGAGTGCTTAAATCGAATAATAACTCCCCACTCTCTCTCTGTCTGTTACACAATATCTTTCCTCCCTTTATTTAAACAGAAAGGGGGCTTCAGAGGCCATAGGTATTTCCTACTAACAATATGCATTAATACAGTGGTACCTCGGGTTACATACGCTTCAGGTTACATACGCTTCAGGTTACATACGCTTCAGGTTACAGACTCCGCTAACCCAGAAATCGTGCTTCAGATTAAGAACTTTGCTTCAGGATGAGAACAGAAATCATGCTCTGGCGGCGCGGCGGCAGCAGGAGGCCCCATTAGCTAAAGTGGTACCTCAGGTTAAGAACAGTTTCAGGTTAAGAGCAGACCTCTGGAACGAATTAAATACTTAACCCAAGGTACCACTGTATTAAGTATTAGCAGCGCACTAGAACATCTTTAGCTCAATTAGCTTCACGGGCACATAGCAAGGTGCTTGGTCACACTGTCGGGGCATCGATCCCAATATTGTCTGCACTGACTGGCAGAGGCTCTCCAGGGTTTCAGATGCAGGTGGAGATGTTGGGGATTGAACCCCAGGACATTCTGTGTGCAAAGTAGATGCACTCGTGCTTTGCTACACAGTTGTCACTGCACAGTTAATCCCCTGCCTTTGCTCGCGTTCAGGCAAGGTTTGAATTGTGTGCTTAATACCCCATTCTTAAACCTCTTACATGGAAGGAACGGCCTTTGCAAATCATGAGCTTTTTGGGTGCAGATGTCGTTCATTTGTCGGAACGGGCAACCTTTCTCAGCTGCCATATTTTGGTCACTGGGAAATGCGATTCCAACCCTCTCCCTAACTAACTAGCTTTTGCGAATGTCACAGGCCCATAACAGGTGGTGGTGGTGATGCTGCTGCTGCATAGATCTTTGTGGGGTGCTATTATTATTTGCTGAATTTGTTAAGTTGCTTTTATCTTGCCCAGGGCGACCCAAAGCAACTTGAAACCAGTGGCGGAGCTTCATACTCCGGCACGGGGGGGGGGGGCAGAGAGCAGGGGGGAGTGGGGCTGGGGCACGTCCTGGGGGCATGGCTCCCAGCACAGGCGGGGGAGCAGCCGCAATGGCACCCCACCAGGATCACGCTGCCGGGGGGGGCTGCTCCCCCCCACTCCTCTTCCTCCGCTAGTGCTTGAAACCAACCAACCAACAGACAAAACCCTCCACATACAGTGGTACCTCGGGTTACAGATGCTTCAGGTTACAGACTCCACTAACCCAGAAGTAGTACCTCAGGTTAAGAACTTTGCTTCAGGATGAGAACAGAAATCGTGCTCCGGCGGCGCGGTGGCAGTGGGAGGCCCCATTAGCTAAAGTGGTACCTCAAGTTAAGAACAGTTTCAGGTTAAGAACGGACCTCCGGAACGAATTAAGTTCTTAACCAGAGGTACCACTGTAGATACATTAAAACTAAGGGGAGAAAGAAATTAAATAAAAACACCCTCTGCTTTTTCTCATGGCCACCCTGACCTCAGGTAACAATGGCACAGAAAGTGGGGCCTCAGGATGTTCACTGTGTGACAACATATCAGGTGCACAAGATGGAGCCAGCCAAAGGATTACGGCCCCATGCTAGGAACAAGCTCTACAACAGTGCTCCATAAACATTAAATGGTAGACACCAGTCACAATCTGCAAACTGCAAAGTCCAGTGAGCTACTATTACTACTATCCTCTTGAGATGCCTCTATAACATAATCTTAGTTTCATCTGCCTGAAGATGTCATAAGATAGGTAGTCCAGCTGAATGACCTCCTAGAGTTCTGTCCATTGCTGAGAACATAAGGCAACCCTGCGGATCAGGCCCACTGCCCATCTCGTCTTGCATTCTATCCAACCAAATGCCTGTGAGAAGCCCACCAGCTGGATGTGAGCCCAACAGCACTCTGTCCGCCAGATTCCCAGCAACTGGTACCCAGAGGCATAATGTCTCTTGACAGTGGAGGTAGAATTTAATAATCACAGCTAGCAACCACTGACAATGCAATACTGTGATAAGAGTTATTTAGTGCTTTTCTTCTAGGAAAAAAAGGTGCTGGTACTACATACCCTTGAGTACCCTCGGGGGGGAAGCATTGGATTTTATGCCCCACTTGGGTGCTTCCAGGAGGCAACTGGCTGGCTACCTTCAGAACAGATTGTGGACTAGATGCACCTGATCCAGCAGGGCTCGTCCTCTGTGATTGTAACCAGGAAAGCCATTTCAACCAAAGCATCCATGACAGATGGTCATCCAGTCTCTGCTTAAAAACCTCCAGTGAAGGAGAGTCCACAACCTCCCGAGGGAGTCTGTCGAACTGCTCTTATTGGCAGAAAGTTCTTCCTAATGTTTAGCTGCAATCTCCTTTCTTGTAACTTGAAGCCATTGGTTCGAGTCCTATCCTCCAGAGCAGGATTAAACAAGCTTTCTCCGTCTTCCATGTTGATAGCCCTTTAGATATCTGAAGATGGGTATCATACCTATCCTCTCAGTTCCCCTTCTCCAGGCTAAACATACCTAGCTGCTTCAACTGTTCCTCATAAGGCTTGGTTTCCAGACCCTTGATCATCTTGGTCACCCTCCTCTCCACATGTTCCAGCTTGTCAACGTCCTTCTTAAATGGTGCTGCCCAAAACTGGACACAGGACTCCAGGTGTGGTCTGACCAAGGCAGAATAGAGTGATACTATTACTTCCTTTGACTGGGACTTGTGGATGCAGCCTAGAATAACATTAGCTTTTTTTTTTGCTGCTGCATCACACTGTGGACTCATTGTGTTCCACTAAGACCCCTAGATTCTTTTCACATGTACTACTGGTAAGTCAGGTGTCCCCCACCTTCGCTTGAGAAGTGAAGACTGGTTTGGCTACATTGCTTTGGGATATCACTTATACTTAGGAGGTTTACTGATTGCTCTCTGCAGATAAACCACAATTGCTAGGAAATGTTCTGAAAGGGGACTGCCCTTTTGGAGGATACACGTGCTTAAGTCCTGCTTTCAGGATTCCTAGTTGACTACTGTGAAAACAGGATGCTTGACTAGATAGGTCATTGGCATGATCCAGGAGGCTCTTCTTGTGTTCTTTCTGCCTCTACCTTTGTCTTGGGATGAGGTCCTTAAGCTGTGTGCATGAACAGCAGTTTTGGGAGAAAGGCAGATAGAGAAGTGAGTTGAGTTGGTGCTGGAAGCATCAAAGGGTGCAAACTCTTCCCTGCCAGACCTGATGTGGGAGTAGCAGACTTTGGAGTGTTTAAACTTGTACATTTGTGGCTTGTACATTCGTAAAAACCAGAAAATATTACAAAATGTCAGAAGCCTCCTGTGACCTCATTCCAAAGAACACAAGCCAGGTGAATTCTGAACCCCGAAGCTTCTTACTACTCAGAGAACTGGGGAACTCATAACAACAGACTTAGCTTCATCAGCCCAAGAGTTGCTGTGTTTCTGCATAACTGGAAAAAGCACTTTCTCTTGGGTGTCCATCACAGTCCTTGAAATCTACTGGAAATGCTCTTGGAAACAGCATCTGTGTACCAAGTTAGGCCTCAACAAGGACATGTAGAGTGGCATTTTCAATGTTAACTCCCAGATCGCAGAACACTTTATTTTCTAAGCTCATATGGATAACCCCCATGCCCTTGCTATACTTCCACAACAAGTCATTTTGGTAAGAGCTGTTTTTAATGGCCAGAGACAAGAGGAATGGCTTGTATTTTTAGTTAATTGCAGTTTAAATTGCAACATTTTATGGTTTGGGTTTTATTTATTGATGCATTGTGCTGCTTTTTGAGCACTGGGTCAGCAGCTTTCTGATTCCAGAAAGAACAGAACAATTATTCACCATCAGAGCATGGATAGAATACTAAGGCATGCTTGCAACCAACAGGACACAGAAGGCAATCCAGGATCAGGTCTGACCTGCTCTCTTTGTTAAAAGTATCAAGGAGTGATGTGATGCAAAAGACCTTTCTTTTGCTTGCTACCCTGATAAGAGGTGCTTCCAGTCTGAGTAGACTATACGAAGGTAGAGGGAGAAATATATTGGTATGAAGGAGCTTGCCTACGTTATCTTATAATAGCTCTGAGATGGCAGTAAAGTTTTCGTTTTCTAGGTGCCCCAAAGTCACTTGTCAGATCTCTTGTACGCTGAACAAAGAAGTCACTTCAAAATCACCCTTGAAATGCTGCAATGAAATTCTTGGGCTTTCAAGCTAGACTCCAATCATCCCATTTCATTGTTCACGGAGGACATGATGGGCGCATCACAAAGTATCTGAAAATTGAGCCTATTTTTGGTTTTCTTCCAAAAGTCTAGACATTGTAAAGCTGTGCGCTCTGGTGTAGCATATTGAGTTCTACCTGGAAAGTTTTGGTTGACGAGGGTTTGAAGATGGGGTCTGTGTGTGTGTGTGTGTGTGTGTGTGTGTTTGGTATCTAGTTGGCAAGTAAACTGCTGTGGGTTGCCGCTGCTGCTTTGGAAACTATTACCTTTACTGTAATGTTTTCAGCACCTGCTAAAACCTTTATTAACTAATTGCTTTAAAACTGCTGGTTTTAATCACATTTTATGCCTATTTGTTTTCAAAGTTTAATCTTGTCT